GTGGTTATGAGGTCAGTCAAATCAACTGTAATAATTAAATTTTGTGAAGGAAAAATAGAAAGTTATTCACGAGGTTTTAGAGGTTATGCAAATGATATTTGAAAATTTGCAGATGAGGAAAAGTATTTTTAATCTTATCATGGAAATTAATTCGCAATCATCAAGGGAAAAAAACATGCAGTGTAAATTGTAAATAAAGGTTTTCATTGACAATAAAGTGCCGTTTTCCTTTTTTTTTTTTAGTTTATTAAGTTATTATTACTAAATTATTATTATTATTACTGGGACTCTTGAGAAAAAAAACAAAAAACACACACACATTTAGAGTCCAGGACCCTTCACTGTGTGACCCTAATGAGAACCTTGTAACACTAAAGACAACTACAACTTACTCCTGATGTACGGAGTCTTTCGACAGCAGCCTCTCTCATGGTTTCCTCTATATTTCTTTTGATATCTGCAGTATCTTCAATCTTACTCTTAATGTCTGGGATAATTTCCTTTAATTCATCTATCTCCTTCTTGATAGTGCTGACAGAATCATCCTGTGACTTTTCCTTCAATGACTTCTGCAGGTTCACTATTCTATCCTCTATCACCTGAATGGCTTTTTCATAGTGTTCAACAGCAAGGTCAAATTGATTGTCCAATGAATATGCTAAACCCAGTTGGTAAAAGCTACAAGAACTCAGGAATATAACTCACACACAGAAGAAAACTTTGAAATGTGACTAGCCTAGCAGTAAATAATAATAAAAAAGAACCAAATAAACGTATACAACTTCTGTTGAAAAGGACATATATATTTATATATTTTTTTTTTTATGTGAGCTATTTTCAAGCTGAACTTTCAAATTACAAACTTGTTTACATATGAACCACATCATTCAAGGTAAAGAGCTGACACACAACAGGTGAAATAATTTCCCATATAAAATATACTACGAATCCCAGCAGTAGCTACAGAAATTAATTGCAAGATTATTATTATTTTTTTTTTTATATAAATATATATTTTTGTAACTTACTGGTACCCTGTAACCAATAAAATCACAGGCCCCCCCCCCCCAAGCAATTTGGTGCATAAATGTTTTTTTTTTTTTTTACATGTTTAAAAAATCCAATGGGACCAGTAGTTTTAGGGTTAAGTACTTTAGCTCTAAAGTTTTGACTTGCTTGGATATTTTTTTAAGTTAAGAGAGAGAGAGTATCATTATTTCTCAGCAGCATTACAGTCCTACTCCCACAAAAGGATGCCCACCAGGGATCTATTAAACACAGCTATAACTTGAAGTTTCCCAAACAACAGGCGTATCAACATATGTGTTGCAGTAAAATAGACTGAAGAAAATGTTTATAACAAAAGTTAAATCGGTCTAGCAATTCAGCGAATCGCCCCCCCCCAAATATTG